ATGTATTGGTTAAATCTTTAGATTTAGTAAGTGTGTTGTTGAACGCTGATTGGAGGAAACGTTTTATTGGTTTATCACAGACTATTTACCTCTCTTTATTTGCTATTTCTTTACTCTGTGGCATCTCTTTTCTCACAGCCAAGAATATTTTCTGTGAAGTGTACTGACATTTCTTCACAGTCCAGAAGAATTGCTTTGAGAGGCACCTTTGATAAGATTTTTCAGTAAATGGAAAGATTGAGCAGAGGCAAAGAAATGTATTAAGCTCCTTGTTTTAATCCTTCCTAAATGATTTAAATATCTGTATATTTGCACCTGAAAGCTGCTGCATTATCATTCCAGTAGAACTGTTGGTATAAATAGTGCCAGTCACTGTCTTTCTTTTAATTTTATTTTTAGCTGCAAAAGCGTCTCTGGAGAAATCCCAATTCCTCTTTAATTGCCTTAGAATTTTACGTATGGAGGTGAACCATTAGTGAGTCATGCATTGCTGGGAACTGATAGGATTGCTGAAACGACACATAGTCTGAAATTGCCTTCTTAGAAAACAGAAGATTAAAAATTAAGTTTACCATTTTGAAGAACAGTGACCGTGTGCATAATATAAACCATTTCCTTGTTAATGCTGAAAAGCTTTATTTGTCAGAGAATAACAATGACACTTCTGTATTTTTGTGTTTGCATGTGCGGATACATACCTCAATACAAACTTTGGCCAATTATAGGCTGGAATGACAGGAAAGCTCGTCATGTTTTCAGACATGTTAAAGAGGCAGTAGGACAGTCTTGCACAGAGAGATGAAAAGCTTTCGCTTTGCCTTGTTGAGTGAAAGGGAGCAGCCAGACGTTCTAAAGCAAGTATCAAGGAGATGCACTGAAATTTTAGTTTGGACAGCAGGATGGAAGGTCTGCAGTGGAGAGAGAGATTGATGAGTTCTACCCAAAGATACTGTAGCTGAAGGAGTGTTTGTAGGCTATAGATACGTATAATTATAGATACGTATAAAGAGAGGAGGAAGGGGGAGGTCAAGGACAGCACCTAGCTGGAAGAGGAATGAGGAACAGTCTTCAAAGGACAATTTAAAGAGGGATGAGTTTAGAAGAAGGAATGGGACATTTGAGAGTATACCGTTCCCAAATCAGGGAACCTTAAGAGAATCCCATCTAACCTTCAGTTCATAGATTGAGTCTCCATTTAAAATGTGCAGACCAGAAAATCAAAATCCCCTACCTAATAGCTGTATAACTGTTTCCCAGACAGTAGGTGAACAGAAGTGCCCTTATTTATTTTGTTCCTTTACAAACTGCTTAAGATTATCAATGATTAAAGAACTAGTTACAGTTCCTCATCTTCTCACATCCGTCTTAATTTCTTAATTTGCATGTGTAAGGAAAGAGTAAATCCACCAACTCAAAGCTAGATGGAACTCTGGATTTAGTGGCTCTTTTTCAGGAAAATTTCAGAGAACAGGCAAAGATTTGCAGCTAATCACAAAGTAGAACTAGGCCTTTAGTCAGCATGCTGTCTTCACAGACAGTAACGCCTTGAAAGGGTTTTGGACTTCAGTGCTGGCTCCCTTAAGTACATCACAGTGGAAGAAATCAATCAGGCTTTGATTTCTGGAGAACTTTTGGATGGAAATCTTAGCCCAGATGACCAGGTTGCAACTTCAAAAACTGGCATCTCCACAGCATAGAAATCCGTCAGCAACCTAACAGTAGGAAGAGCAGCTGTACAGTACGGACTGCTCTACTGCGGACTCTGCAAATGACCTAATATGTTAAAAAGAGAGAGGCGGTCAAGAGGAGGAAGGGGAAATCTTTAAAATTGTTGTCCCACAGTAGCTCTCCAGATAGAATCCCCCAAACTCCTGAGGCAAGATTCTTTGGTGAGCTTTGTACTGACCATTAGTAAAGGGATCCTCAGTAAATTTACTCATCTTTTCTCTTTTCTGATGGATACAGAGAAGTCCTAGAATGAGAGTCCAAAACGCCTGTGATCAATAGTCCCTGTAAAAAACAAAGTAAAAACAAAAACCCCCAGCCAACCAAACGGAAACCTAACACTTGGCAAATGACAAAAAAGGATCGAGTAAGATTAAGAGTGCTGTGTCCTGTTGTCATTATGATAAAAGACAGTGGAAGGGAAGCAGGGTAAAAGAGGATGGTCCTTTGTCCAGAAAGAAATTATGGAGCTTTTCATAAAGGAAGGAGTCTCATGAATGTATGTTTATGTCTGCTGCCAGCTCAAACTGATGAGGGATAGAAAAGCTTACTTTATGGACTTTTACGGCTTGTCAAAATTGCTGTTATTTGATCGTTCTTAGCTGTAGTACACACGCGTATAGCCAATACGAGATCTCCCGGTCTCGATGTTTGAGAGACTGTCAGGTTGCATTATAGAAGAGAGTCTATGTTGCTAAGGTCTGCCTTTTGACAGAACTCTAATTTAGTGTTGCAACTGCCAGGTTATAATAATCTTGGATTCTGAAAGTCTGGCGCCCAGCGTAACACATTCACAGAGAAGGCCTCAAAAACATTCTGCAAGAGCCTTTTATCAGGATTTTGTCCAGATCTTTATTTCTCCCCAATTTTTGCTTTAAAGCGTGAATAAAATAGCCTGGCAGCTCTGTAACCAATGGACTGGTGAGCTAATATTTTATTGCATGCTGTCTTTTAAACTGCTTGATTTTTTGATAGTAAGCCATGGACCATATAATCTACTAGGTGTTCAGACATCCCCAAAGACTGAATTACGGTTCTCCAAAGTTTCTAATATTACAGTGGCCAAAGTTTCTAATGTTACGGTGTTTTCGGGAAGTGTGGTTGAATGCCGGCGTTGCATGTGCGTGAAGTAGGCAAATAGATTTCTTAATTCCTGCAAATATAGCTCTGGTTTTATTGGTGGATGTAATGGGGACACAGTTTTGTTGCTTGGGAATTTTTTCCACAGGTATCTTGTATTTCTTATCACTCTCTTGCTTTAGTGTATCTGTAAAGTAAAAACCTTCTTTTAGAGAAATATCAGCATTCCTTTTCTGTCCTATTTTGATTGAAAACAAAGGGGTTTATATATTTATAATCTAAAATCATTAGATTTTTAGGTGTCAAACCATTTATGAAGGGAATTACAGTAAGTAACATTTTTAGTTGCTTTGTTTGGCTGCTGAATGAATGGCGTGATTGCACATTCTTTTCATATTTTTATTTGCTGACTGTATACATTTTCTTTTTTCTGTCAGAGTAAGGTAGGTTTAAAGAAAACGGCATACTGATTAGCAGATCTGCCTTTATATGTATTTCACTAATATAATCATTCAGCAAATGCATTTAAAGGTCCTTGTGATTATGGTCAAAGCTGCTGGTGTCTTGATGTTTGCTACTTCATCTGAAATATATAGATGTAATGTTGAGAGAACACTAATACAATGACTTGGGAAAAAACTCCATCACAAATTACTGTAAATTAGTTGTTAAAATAGATTCCCATGAGACATTAGTGTCAATTAATGCTGGTTTTCATTCTGTCTTTCAGGTTCACCTTCATTCAACGAGGGAATAGAAATTTGAGAGGAAAAAGGTAGGGCTTTTTGTTTGTTTTTCTGTAATCTTGGAAATAATTTTGTCTTGGCCATTTGTGTTCTTCTAGAGTGGACATTGTACGTTGACCTCATTGTACAAAGGACCTCAGTAATGTGCTTTATCTATATGAATTTCAGTCAGCACAATTCAAAATCAAAATGATGTGCAGTTATTAGTACTTTTTCCAGTGAGAATAAAAGTCAGGGCCCACTGTGTATGTTACATGTATTGCAGTTTCCTTTTTGGTTGTGTGTCGCATTTTCTAGATCACTCTTTCTAGGTGGAACTAAATAATGTGGGACTTGAAAACATATTTTTAAATATTTGTAATTTATTCAAATATGAGCATATTATTACAAATTATATTGTATGTTGTTTGTTCTAACCTATATATGCAAATCATTTCTTTGAGGATGGTTGAAATAGACCAGTAATTACTTCTCTTTCTATTGACTGGTTGAGTAATTACTAGAATAAGCATTAAAGTAATTACTTTTGTTGAGCAAGAGCAATCTCACTAGTGAAAATCCATACATGTTAGCAGATCAGAATTTGGAAGCTTTTTCTGCTACGGAACTAGCTGGCCAGACAAAATTGAAAGGGATACATAACAGGGCGGATTAATTTGTGTTTTAAATAGATGGGGCATTTAGTGTCTCAAAGCTCATTTTGAAACTGTATTTTGTGTATCGAGGTCAAAGAAAAGAAATTCAGCATCTGTTTGCTCTTCTTAATGAGAAACATCAATAAATACTGCAATAATTGAACTTTTTCACATTTGGTAGCATTTTACCCTCCCTCCCTAGATTTCTTGAAAATAAAGCATACACGGAATTGAAGAGTAAGAAAGTCTTCACAGTTTTTTCATATTCTGTTTATATTAGATACATTTATATTACATTGGTATTACATGAAGTGTTATATCCTAAAGAAAATGTAATTCATCCGGGCAATGGACTGCAACACAGAAATCGGGGCACTGCGTATCACACCTGGAATGTGTTGTAGGCTGTGTCGGCTTTATTTGCGCGCTGCGGACCACGAAGAAGTGCTCTGCCGTTCGCCTTCCTTCCCGGCATCGCTGTGGGCAGTGCACCTTCCCCAGGCTGCTGCAACAGGCTCTTTGCCACTGTTTTATTTACTCCCCTAAATGCTGCTTGGCTCAGATCAATTGTAAAGGAAAGGTAAATTTCTAGAGCTGGGCAGCCTAGTAATTTATTGTAATTAGAAGCTCTTTGACCATAAGTATTGGATTGTTCTTCAGAGTAAGATAGCCTGAGTGCTGAAAATGTTGAGCCTGTGAGACTCATGTGGGCTTAGCCCAGTGAGTTTCTAAGAATTGCTCATAAGGCAGTAAATGAGAACTGCAAATAGTCAAAGTTGTGATTCATTAGAGCTTTTCAGCACTAACTAAAGTGATTAAATGAATTTAGGTTTTAGTTGTGAAAGGTATACTGTGTCATCATCCGAGCAGGGCTTTGGTATCAATACGATGCTCCCTTTTGGTCCATATGCTCGAACCGTCAGGAAGGAAAGTCATCGCCCTACTTCTGGCTTATGAAACTGCAAACTTTCGCTACTGACATACAGCTTTTAAAGTCTAATGTTTTAATTTAACTTAAACTTTCAGTGTTTCTCTTCTCTTGTTATGCATGATCCGATTGAAGGTATGGTCCCTGTTATGACGCGGTAGATCTTTGCTAAGCCTCGCGGTAGATCTCTGCTAAGCCTCAGCTTGGCATGCAGTATATACACTGTCTGTAGGTTTCCCCACAGCTTTGGACAAAAATTAATTTATTTTTTCCGATATTCCATATATTTTCAGTGTTGCCCCAGTTGACTCTTCACTTGGGCATCGCATATGTGAAAGTTTGCTCGGAACTGAGCGTGCATGTTTTGGAACTGTCACGTAGGTAATTTGGAGGACTACAGTCTTTGTAATACTGATTCACGTGGGAAATGTAAGCATATTATCTTAGTAATTGACACAGTCTACTGCAAAAGCTACAGAAATCCTCTGAGATAATCGTTAAAGTTCTTTCCAGCTGTCAAGGATTTGTGTCAAGTGTTTGCATTTACAGTGAGGCTGGCTAATAAGATACTGCATGACATAACTAATCAGCGACACACAGATCATTTCGGTGTTTACATGAAGATACTTTAAAAGGATCTCGGTGATGCAGGGTATGTCAAATAAACATACCTGGAAAAATCAAGTTACTTTTGACCTTGGCTTATGATTTTTGTTAAACTATTTTTGTTAAACTACAAGGTCTTTCCAGTTCTTCTAGGATTTTGAAAAACCTTTTTGGCTGCGTTTTCTTGCTGTATTTGCCCTCAGTGCAGCACTACTCTATTTCACTTACACAGTTAATTGAGGTGATTGGAGGTCAGCCAGTTTGACCAAAGAGCTACAGCCTGGCTCTTTGATAGTCCTGAGGTACTTGGCACTGAAGATTCTCTGCGAAGATTATGGTACTGAATTGGAATTACTCTCCATGTGTCCAAAGTATATTAAACATTTGTGCTTGAAAGGGGCAACTGGTTGGGCAGAAAGGAAAATTTTATCTCTACTGAGTTAAGATCGATCTCACTGACCACATTAGCATCAGGGAAGGGAACATGTAGTCTGGGGGAACTGGGAGTGAAACGAAGGAAGTAGGAAATCCAGCAGAAGAGCTACTTTCAAGAATGTCTTAGTATTAAATTTGTAATGAAGGTTGGTTCTTACATGTAGCCCTTTTAGAAAACAGAGCTCATTTTTGGAGAATACTGACACGATAGAAACCTTCATTGCTTGTCTGTCCTTTTTTTTTTTTTTTTTTTTTAAGAAAAAAACCTATGGATATAGCATGTTTTCACAGAATCATGGAATGGTTTAGGTTGGAAGGGACCTCTGGAGATCATCTAGTCCAACCTCCCTGCTCAAGCAGGGTCCTCTAGAGCATATTGCCCAGGATCACATTCAGATGAGTTTTGAATATCTCCAGCGAAGGAGACTCCACAACCTCTCTGGGTTTTAATTCTCTTACTGCAAATAAGATCATATAATTCTTAGGAGTTTCAGAATGCTCTAATAGTTGCTTTCATAGTTATTCTATAGCATTATTTTCTCTGGCTGATTTTTACCAATCTCATAACTTCTTATTGTAACTTTTGTTAGATCAGTGCTCAAAAAGGATAACTGCTTTAGAACGGTTTTAAAGATTAATAATTCTGTTTAGCTAATGTGCTGTGGTATATGGAAAGAGTACTGTAATCTGAGCATTTATTGATTTGATTTCCTAAGTTTGCGATAAACAGTGGTGTGCAATTCCAACAAGAAAAGGACAGGGTTTTTTTTTTTTGTCTGAAATAGTTATCTGTCTAAATTTAGTTTTTTAAAGCTCTACAGCTATTGTCGTGGTGAAAGGCTCCCACCGAAAATATCCCTTTTCTGCATAAATAATTATAGTTTTCTTTGAAACTGTGCATTCTCCCAGCAAAGCACAATAAAGTGGTGCATGGTAATGAGAACTGGAATACCTTTTTCCCAGTGACAGTAAGTGGTTGTCTAAAATAACCTAACAGCTTGATGATAATGGGAATGTAGACAGCAAAGATCCCAGAAAGATTTTCTTTTTCTTTAAAATACACCTTACAGGGATCAAGAGAACTGGCTGGAGAAGGGGAGCTTATGAAAATGCAGCAGAGTCCCTTGCACAAGCTGATGTCATGTGGGGAAATAAGATAGATGTCAAAGTTTTCCAGCCCCATCAGGCTGTTCTTTCTGGCTCAAGGGCTCTTCTGCCTTCTTCATCCCAAACAGGGACTTCTGGGATAAAGGCAGCACCAAGCCTCAGGAAGCAAAACAAAACAGTAAGAATAGGATTTGTTGAGATTTCTGCTTTCTAGGGTTGCTTCTTATGCTCTCTGGAGTCTCAAATCATTGCACTGACTGAGTCAGCCCCGAGTTATCTTAGCTCATCAACAAAGTATCACATTGATGTGTGATACTTACTTGCCTTTGGAAAAACAATATCCTGGCCAGGAGAATGTTAATCCGTGTCTGATAAGCATGAGACTAATGCTGGGAATCTTGGAGCAAACCCTTTCTTCTGGGTAAGCCTGAGCCCTATGCCCTGTTCTGGCACAAGTCAAGATCTCAGCTACTTGGTCTCCCTGTGGGGCTGTCCTCTGAGCCCTTCCTGTTCTCCCTTTGCATGTGGTAAGGTTGGCAGCCATTCATTCTCATCCCTCAGCTGCTTGAGGAGATAACCCACTTTTAAAGCAGTGAAAATCAGGACAGTTGAGATGAGGCACCTACTGAAGTTTATGGAAAGTGAAAGGAGATGGGGAGACAAGTGTGAAGGCCAGTTGTTTGATCAAAGCAGAGGCAGGGGCTGCAATATATGGAGCCTGGTTTGTTGCAAAGTTGTTGCAGCTGTGTGTTGTGGCAGTAAAGGTAAAAAACAAATAATAAGAATTTATAGGTTTTAGAACACGACCTGTGTTTGCGTGTTCTTACTGGCCCTGTCAGTAGCTACATGCTTCAATCGTTTCAAGGCGTTAATGCCATTCCATCTTCAAATGGGTTACAAGAGTGAGGAAGACTGCTTTGAACTTACTAGTAGCCTTCCCCTAGTCATGCAAGCATCCCAGCCGGAAGCCACGTGGTAAGAAGTGGTAGCGGCAATAGCATAGAAAAATCAGTGGGAAAAGACATTGTCCATGCCAGTTGTCCATGTACCCTCTGAGAACACTGTGTTCAGTAAAGTTTTGTCAAGTAGAGAAGAGAGATTCAAAGCTAATACTGACACAGCGCTTTGATCCTAGCCTTTCCTAGTCTGATTTTTGTTTCTGATTTGGAAAGTTGGAAGAAGAATATGACTTACCTAGATAATTCTAAACGACCTGTTTGCCTGCATTTTCTTCATTTATATAACTTCATGTTAGAAAAAAGTCCGGTAACTGTGGGGAAGAAAGCAAAAAAGAACATATTCTGTTGCCACAAGATTT